ATCACTTCCCAGTACACAGAGTGCTGGGGAGGGACCCCCAAGGTCACACAGAGAAAGTAACTGCTGAGGTCACATAGTCGGCCTTCAATCAGCTCCCTGAGCCACTTCTATTCCTGTGCCCACTTCTGGCTTTCAAGACCCAGTTCCCATGTCCCCTTCCTGCTGAGTAAGGAAACTCTCTGGCTCTGCCTTGGCCCCCTCTCAGGCAGCTACTGCAGCCCTTCTCTCCTAACACACCCCAGGCTGCAGGGCCTCCAGGGCGGAGTCACGTGGTTCTCTGTGACCCCAGCACCCAGTGGAGTGTGTTCCTGTGCAACAGCATGCTTTGGGCTTGGGGACCCCAAATGCCTGACTGCAAGTCTGTGCCATCAGGGTCACCTGGGGTATATTTAGAGAGAAGTTCCCAGGCCTGTTCCCAGAAGCAGAGAGTGGGCTCTGGCTGCCCAAGGCTGGGGAGGGGAAGATCCTTCCACGCTGATCATGGCCCTTCAGATCTGCCAACATCTTGTTCCCATCGCAGCCTCGTGGGACCCGGAGCTGGAGCCTCTGAGTCAGGACCCTCCTGCCGCCTCCCCCTCAGAGACTGTGGAGATGCCAGATCTTTGTTTTAGGTGCAAAGTACGAAGTGATTTGGTACAGACCATTAAAAAAATTAAGGCGATAAAGTGATCAGTGGCTATTTTCTCAAAAGAAACAGGTGCTCCAGAGTAGCTCACGTGACAGTCAAGGTCCTGATAACAATGAGCTGTCAGGCCAGGATTCCATGTCCCTTGAAATGTCCTTCAAAATAAACGTGATTGTAAAAACTATTTCTACTGCTTTTAGATTCCATTTAATTTTGCTCTTCATTTATTTTTCACATTATACCCAGAGTAGTGTCCGCAGTGTCATGGCAGAGAGGGGCTCTCTGGCTTCCTGCAGATGTGAGCGGGGCTGACTCTGACTCACCTGCAGGGAGTGGAGCCCTGGAGTCCCAGAATCAGCCTCCAGGGTTGGTCTTCCAGGGCGGCCCAGGCCTTGCTCTGCTCTCCTCTTGGAACCCTGAATGTCCCTGGCACCCCAGCATTCATGCACTGAGGGGGGATATTCTGCATTGGGGGCTTCACTTATACATCTATATCCCCCATCTCTCTGCCATCTGCAGCATTAAAACAAAACATCTAAGTTCCTTTAATGGAAAGGAACTTCACTACAATTAGTGTGCAACAAAGAAAAAGGAAAGAATAAAGTTTCCAAATCAAGCACCAAAGTCACCATCCCCTCGTGGGTAAATGTTCAGCCAAACGGGGTTGGCCCAAAGCAGGGCCTGAAAGCCTGTCATAGTCTAAAGCACCTCCTGGTGTTGATCCATAGAAAAGGGTGGACGGGGCTGACAAGTCTGGAAGGAAAAACCAAAATCAAGATAGAAGCTGCCATTGTCACTTCCACATGGATTTCTCACCCACATCTGTGTCACCCAGTCCAAGGCCAAGAAGCAAGTGCAGCTTCTCTGCCCCATGTGCCTCCCCCAGGTCTCCTTCTGCCTCCATCCTGCTTCCTTCCTCCTCAGCCTCCTCTCCAGCTGCTTCTCCATGCTCAGCTCCACCCTCCTTGGGTGGGGCAGGAGCCTGGATCCTCCCCTGGGGACCCCCCTGTTACAGCCCTCTCCTTCACCAGCATGTGCCTGTGTGTGGGTGACACCAGCCCTGCAAGGACAGGAAAGGCCCCAGATGTGCGCAGTCCTCTGGGCAGTTACAGGCCAGCACTGCTGCATCCCCCCAGGTGAGACAGACGCTCCAGACCCCAGTGAGAGCCCATGCCACCCACACCAACCTTCCCCCTCAGTGTCCCCCGTGCTGTCCCTTCCCTGCCCGGTCCTCTCTGGCTCCCCTTGCACACCTTTCCACCTCTGTCCCCTAAAGTCCCCATTTCCATCCTCTGCTCTCTTAGAAGCCTCCCCATCCTCCTAGCCAGTGCCCTGGGGGCTCTCTTAGGCCCTCCCCTGATCCAAAGAATGGAGAATGTCAGGCGATTCCCAGGAGGAGGGGCTTTTGTCCTTGGAAGCAGAAGCAGAAACAAATTACAGGGACCCTGGAATCTAAGTTTTCATCCCAAACAGACTGAGGCAATCTTTATATTTGGGGATTTGCCCAAACCTAGGAACCAGTTATATCCTGGAGACCACTGGAAACTAAAAATAAGGACACTGATCTTTGCCTTCACTATCACTGCTTTGGGTGATGTGTTTGTAAAGATGTCTTTGATGTGCATATCACGTAGTGTTTCGCCTATATTTCCTTCTATGTATTTTATAGTTTCAGGTCTTATGTCTAGTTCTTTAATCCATTTTGAGTTGATTTTTGTGTATGGTGTGAGGTAGTGGTCAAGCTTCATTCTTTTGCATGAAGCAACCCAGTTTTCCCAGCACCATTTATTGAACAAACTTTCTTTGCTCCAATGCATATTCTTTGCTCCTTTGTCAAAGATTAGTTGACCATAAATCTGTGGGTTTATTTCTGGATTTTCTATTCGATTCCATTGGTCTGTGTGTCTGTTCTTGTTCCAATACCATGCAGTTTTGATGATTATGGCTTTGTAGTATAGTTTGAAGTCTGGGAGTGTGATGCCTCCATTCCCGTCCTTTTTTTTTTTTTTTTTTTTTTTTTCAGAAGAGCTTTGGCTATTCGGGGTTTTTGGTGATTCCATATGAATCTCATCAATAATTGTTCTATTTCTTTGAAGAATGACATTGAAATTTTTATTGGAATAGCATTGAATCTGTATATTGCCATTTTAATAATGTTTATTCTTCCAATCCATGAGCAAGGGACTACATCAAATTAAAGAGCTTCTGCACAGCAAAAGAGACAATAACAAAAACAAACAGAAACCCCACCAAATGGGAGAACATTTTTGCACCCAAAACTAATGATAAAGGACTGATCACAAAAATCTACAAAGAGCTCATGAGACTCAACAAAAACAAAGAAAATAATCCAGTCAAAAAATGGGCAGAAGAGCTAAAAAGAAACTTCTCTGAAGAGGAAATGCAAATGGCCAACAGGCATATGAAAAAAATGTTCAACATCATTCTTGTAATCAGGGAAATGCAAATCAAAACTGCCATGAGATACCATCTTACACCAGTGAGAATGGCACATATTAAAAAAACTAGCAATAACTCCTTATAGTAATTTTTGGAGTGGGGGTTTAGTTGTAATGAAATTCCAGAGTTTCTGTTTGTCTGGGAAGGTCCTTATTCTTTCTTCATAGAGGAAGGAAAGCTTTGCAGGATAGAGTATTCTGGGTTGGCATCTGTTGTCTTGAAGTCTGTTGCCTATATGCCTCCACTCTCTCCTTGTCCAAAGTGTTTCTTTGGAGAAGTCTGATGTCAGTCTTATTGGTTTTCCTTTGTATGTTATCTATTTCTTCTCTCTTGTCAGCTTCATTATTTTTTACTTCTCTTGGATTCTTGGGAGTTTTACTATTATGTGTCTTGCTGTTTTTTTTTTTTCCTTTCATCATGGAAGTTTGGTGTTCTTCTTGCTTCTTGAATGTCTGTTTTCAGCTCCTTCTTCATGTTTGGGAAGTTCTCTTCAATTATTACCTTGAATATTTTCTCTGTTCCTAGGTCTCTCTCCTCTCCTGGGATTCCTAAAACTCTTATATTTCCTTTCCTCATGGAGTCAGATAGTTCCCAAAGTCTTTCTTCACTCTTTTTCATTTGTACTTCTCTTACCTTTTCTGTTTTGGTTCTTTTTATTTCTGTGTCTTTGAGAGTGCTTATTCGTTCTTCCATTTCCTCTATTCTGTTATCACTGCTTTTCCCAGCATTCTTTAGCTCTTCTGTTAATCCTCTGATCTCCTGCATTTCCTTCATTTCCCTCTTTAGGGACTCAATTTCATTCTTCTGAGCATTGTTTTCCTTAATGACTTCCATCAGTTTTTTCATCACGGCAATTTTAAATTCTTTTTCTGGAAGGCTCAGAAGTTCTTCCAAGTCACCGTAGTTGCAAGGTGGTGGGTGTTTTTTTTTTTGTGTGTGTGTGTGGTATGTCTTTTTTCTGAGGCGTTTCTACTTTGCTTGTAGTTTTTCTTTTCCCTGCTGTCTGTCTTCTAATTTGCCTTATGCGTTGGAACACTGTGCCGCTGTACTGGCTGGCATCTTTTTGGTGTGTTCTTTTGGGAGTTTTAGAAACTGGCAATCCAAATGAGTCAAAAACTGTTATGCCAGAAGTCTAGTGAGGCAGTGGTACTTTGAGTATGTTAATGGTCACTGTCACAAAATCTCTCCTTCTTCTGTGTTTAGTTACAAAGGTGCGTCTTGAAGTCCCACAGACTTCCCTGGAGGTGGGGCAGCTGGATTGCAATCTGGGTTCCAAATCTCTGGATCCTCCTCTGGGCTCTGACTTCCTGCCAGGTGGGACCGGGCTTGTGGGGGCCTTCAGCTCACCTCTGATTGTGTATGGAACCTTCTCTCTCTGGCTCCACGAGGAGCCTTCTGCCAGATTCAAGCAGTCTTTATTGAAGAAAGTTCCCTGTTTTAAAATGGCGCTTTGGAGAGAGCCATACTCTTCCACCACCCGGTCTGCCCCAGCTGTGGGTGCCCACTCCCCCTCTGGGTTTGGACTGCTGGCCTGAAGGGGCCTGGCGTGAGTGAACTTCCCAGCTCACCTCTGGCTCCTCCGTGAGCCTTCTGCCGGTTTCAAGCAGTCTTTATTGAAGAAAGGTCTCTATTCTAAAATGGCGATTTGGAGACAGGCGCACTCTTTGGGAGATTTTCCAACACAGATTTTATTCTGAAATCTCAATGGGCTTGGTCTGGCGGTTAACGTGCATGTTATAAGAGAAATATTGCCTGGCCTGTGTCTGTTATGATCTATCAGGCATGTTTGGAGACACAGTGTCCTGCTACAGAGAGGACACGTGAGGAAGGAGCATCACCCCAGCTCATGTTCTCAGGGTGGGTGAACAGCTGTGAGGCCCCAGGTTTACAGCACAGTTGCTGCCAGAGAATAAAAATTCATAAATATTGTCATGCCCTACTTTATACAAAGTTTTACATCATATGAAAAGATAACATAGTTCCTGAAGTACAAAATAGCAAACTTAAGTTATCTAAAACAATGTCAAGAAGAAGACATGGTAGAGGAATCAAGATACGATTTGGAAAATTCAGGGTGCCTGAAAATAAACACAACAACAAAGGTCTGAACATTAAGTTTTGAAGTAGTAAAGCAGTGGCTCAAAAACAATTCATCTGCTTTAAAAAAAAAAAAAAAAACACTGCATCACAGGAGTACAGTGTGATAGTATCAAGTCAGATGTCACAGAAAGTAACAGTCATATCCATGACAGGTTTCAGCTCCAGACTCCAATTCCCGGGTCATCCATCCAACTCCCACCTCTGCGGATTCATGTCAACTGTGGTTACAACAAGACCTGTGAGCAGAAACATGAATGTCTCTTAGAGGAAGACGCCCCATCAGGAATTGTGAGGGGTGGGGGGACACTCAACTGTCTCCCCTCCCCTACTCAAGGAAGGGCCTCAGTGGAGACACACACAGGCTGTGGGAACTGAGTGCCAGGAACATGGACCCATGACCAGTGCTTCCAGGAGAAAACAACTTGCATCTTGTCATTGTTAGTAACTGTTGGTGGCCTCTGAGTTCTGACTTCCTTCTGGTCAGAAATGTGTGACTTGTTGCAAACAACATCACATTTTTTTAACATGACCTGGAATTCAGTTTATGAGCTTCACATAGGGAAGGGTTTTGCAAAAGTCTGCATTAATTTACGGAAATAGATTCCAAGGAAGAATATGAGAATATACATTTCTGACAAAGAAAAAACTGTAAGAGAAAAGTCCATTTGTGATTGAGGACATGAAAAAGTGCAGGAAAAAAATGAATAAATGAGGGTTATAATGGAGAATGTGATATCTCACTTGATGGACAATTGGCCCTTTATCAGTCTCCCCACAGCCGACTTCATGGCTTGGTTCCTCAGACTGCATATGAAGGGATTAAAGGTGGGGGGCACCACCGTGTAGAACATAGAGATGACCAGGTCAGACATGGACGGAGTCTCTGAGGTCAGCTTCAGATAAGCAAAGCATCCAGTGGAGACAAACAGCACCACAACCAGCAGGTGGGGAAGGCAGGTAGAGTAGACTTTGGCCTTACCTTCTGTGGATGGGATCTTCCTGACAGCAGAGGAGATGTGGACATAGGAAATGACACTGAATATGAAATAGCAGATAGTCAACACCACACAAATGAGAATGGGGACAAGTTCACTCATTAAATTTTCTGAGCAGGAAATAGCAAATAACTGGTGGATGTCACAGAAGAACTGGTGGACCACATTGGACCCACAGTAGGACAAGGAGAAGGTTCCAGCTGTGTTCATCACAGCATAGAGACCCCCACACAGCCAGGACACAGCTGTCAGCTGCACACACCTGTCCCTGCTCATGATGACATCATAGTGCAGAGGGGCGGAAGATGGCTGCATAATGGTCAAGGCTCATCACCGTGAGCAGGGTCATCTCTGTACCTGCTGAAATAACCATCATGAAGACCTGGATGACACATCCCGGGAAGGAGATGGAGCTGCTGTGCCTCAGAGAGTTGACAATGGACATGGGGACCGTGGCTGAGATGAGGCAGAGGTCCATGAAGGACAGACTGCTCAGGAAGAAGTACATGGAGGTGTGGAGGTGCCAGTCCAGGGTGGTGATGAGGACGATGAGCCCGTTCCCCAGCAGGGTGCACAAGTAGACCAGGGAGAAGAGCAGCGGGTGCAAGAAGCCCATGGTCCCCTGGGTGGGGAACCCCAGGAGGATGAATTCTGTCATGGCTGTGAGATTGGTCACCTCTGGATCCATCATCTGTATAAAAGAGAAAATATCAAGAAACTGACAAATCTTCCACCATTGAACATAGTTCATCATGGGAGGACAGTAATTCAATCCATTTTCCACAGAATTACACTTTCTTGCTCATATTGAGTCAAATATCAGCATCTTCATATACTTCATTATTCAACCCATTTATTTCTACCTCGTGTGAATGTGCCGTTATTACATTCTCAATATTTGTTCTTGCAATGGGTGAAAAACTGACATTTCAACTGTCCTCTACAAAAATTGTACAATTGGAATCTCATATGTGTCAACAAAACCGACTCACAGCCCCTACCCTTCGCCCCAGTCCTGCTACTCCTGCCTCCTGCACGGGCCCCAGCGTCTCCGCCTAGCACACCTCCCAGAGGTCGTCCAGGGCACAGTCCCAGAGGACACGTGACCATGCCCAGCCCCTCCCCACCCTAGAGAACCTGTCCCTGCTCCTCCAGCACAGCCCTGGTCTGGGGAGGCCCCACAGTGACAGGTGTGCAGGGAGATGGGGTGTGCGGGTCTCTGTTTTCCTGCTCCCGAGGACCTGACACTGTCCTGGAACTGAATGATCTGGGCTCAGCGTCCCCATGCGGCATGTCCTGATGCCTCCTCTGTCAGATTCCTACCCCTGTGGCCTCACTGCTGACTCCTGGTCCGTCCCCTCATCTCCTCATGTCCCTGTACCTGACTCCCCACATCTGAGTGCCCAGAGACCATGTTTCCCACAAAGTCTCCTCCTGGGTCACACCCACACGTCCCTCCTGCAGAATAGGCTCGTCCACCCCCGGGTACCTCCCCAGCCCCTCTGTCCCCCTCAGACTCATGCACATCTGTGCAGGGAGGAGGCCGCTCCAGGGCTGAGCCAGACGGTCTGTGCGTGTGGCTGTCCCTGCTGGTCCCAGGGACCCGGGTCCCCCGGGTGCAGGTTTGTTCCTTACCCCAGGCCTGTGTGTGAATGGGGACATCTGGCCACGGGGCAGCCCTGCCCGCTCTCCTCCCCCTCCCCAACCTCTTCCTCTCCCCGCTCTGTGGGGTGACGGTCCTGGTGATGGTCGGGTTTTAATGGAGAATGTTGGTTATAAATTGATGGAAATACATTAGTGGAAATAATTCTAAATAATTTAATAAGAACTAAAAATTAAATGGGGAAACCATGTGGTCAAATCCATAGACATCTTTTAAGAGATTTAAAGTACATATTATACTTATGATGTAAGTTTTTATATTCTTCCCTCCATATTTAGGTACTGTGACTTTATAATATCTCTAACAATCCTGGAGTGCGGAATTGGGGAACAACCCAAGTGAATGTCCATAAAAGTCAGGTGTCCATGCCACCCTCACTTTAGTTTCAGAGCCAAAGAGTCAAAAATATTGTCATAAAAATTGAATTTCTATGTTCATGCCTGTCATAATATTAGGATAACAAATGGAAGTTTAGCAATAAAGATTTTGAAATTCATCTTAGTTACAAAATAATCATTGTTGTGATCTGATGGAACACTTAATACACACTGATAGAACGCTAAGATCAGTCATGAGACATTGCCAGGCTGATCATAGAAATCTTCCCGTATAATGAATAAATTAAAAGGGCATAATTTGTGGAAGATCCTCAAATAACAATGTGTTTTCTCTCACCGAGTCTCACCCCGGCTGACAGGGCAGTGGGACATGATGACTTGGGCCCCGTCAGCATTAGTTGTCATGATTTACAAAGTGAATAGTTTAACTATGGAGCATTCATTCTCCAGTCTAATATGAAGCTTGACATCTAAAATTTTCCAAGTGTGAGTGGATTTTCCCCTGCAAATGGCTGGGGGCAGATACCTGCAGTCTGGGGGGAAAGTTCCTGCTGCCGTCTCCTGTCTCTCTCCTGAGGTTTTCCCCATGCACGGGCAGAGGGCGTCCCGGCCTCTCACTCCATGGTCGGGGCTCCTGGGGACGCCTCTGAGCACTCACAGGATGTTCCACCCCGTCCTGCTGCTGCCTCATGGACAGAGCAGGGCCTCAGGGCTGGGCTATTTGAGCTCTGGAGCTGGTGTCTGTGTGTTGGATACTGTCCAGATTCCAGCCCTCAGGGATCCTCCTCCAGAGGGCAAGTGCAATGTGTTGTTGTCATTGACTGTCTTAATTGGCGTTGTCCTATAGCACATTCAGAGACCATTAGTGCACTGAGTGTGCCAGATGCAGTTTTGTTGCTTTGACCCCTGTGAGGACTGGATTGTGGTTCCTCATCCTCAGGCTCCATCAGCCTCCATTGACCAGAAGGGGGAACCTGGTGTGGCCCCGTTGTCAGAGCCTCAGATAAGCCAAGTCACAGGGAGCAGGAAAGTCGCCGCCACCCCCTGTGCGCCTCCTGGGCCTGGCAGGTGGGGACGGGCATGTGGAGGCAGGAGGGGGAGGAAGGGGCGGGGAGGGAAACCAAGAAATCGCCCGGGAGCGAGATGGGGAAGCACTTGGATCTTCTGACACGGGAATTTGTTCGTGTCTCTCAGAATCATTTTATTCAAAAATGCCATTTACTCTCAGCACCTGTGACTCTGTCATCACATTTGAACTGTTGTCATGTGTGAGGGAAGCTTGTGTTTATCTTCCAGTGCGGGTCAGTCCCGAGGCGGCGCTGTCGGTGTGTCCTCGGGGTAGTCTGTGACTTGGCTCTGACACAGCAGAGTAGGGGGCCCTCTCCGGGTGTGGGACTCCCCAGAACCTCATGGCCCCAACAGGTCAGGGTCTTAGACAACAGGGGATACTGGTGGAGGACACAGGGGATGGACAGTCCCGGGCCCACGCACTGTCCCATTTATGTCCACAACATCCACCAGGCCAAGTCCAGAGCTGCCCAGCGAGATGGCACTACCCTGGGGGAAGTGAAGCTGGAGGCCTGGGGTGGGCGGTGTTGGGGGGCCCATCCTGGCTTGTGGGTGTGTGTGGTCACTGCTCCTGAGGCCCTGCCGCAACCCGAGTTCCTGGACCCTCCGGCAGCCTGTCCACCCCCTTCCAGGCCTGCCATCATGAGGCCACGCACCACCAGTGGTTCCGGAGGGGTGTGCACCCCCACTGGGGTTCCTGGAGTCAGCCTAGGGCAGCTACACCAGTACAGGATACAACGTCCACTCCAGCCCTTTGTCCACTGTGGCTGATGGGCAGTGCTGCTGTGTCTATGAACCGAGGCTGGACCCACCCACCAGCATCCTAGACCTGCCTGGGCCTTCCTCTCCTTTCCCTGAAACCCCAACATGCAGGGCCACAATCCCCAGGACCAGCTCCCCAGGGGACAGGTCGGGCTGCTTAGCAGGGCCTAAGGCCATCAGAGAAGCCAGAGCTCTGGCGGCCATCACTCCTCCAGGTCTGATGATGTCTCCCCAGGATTTGGGCAAAGGACAGTTAGTGCTTGTCCCAGACAGGACACCTAGGACACCTCTGCACAGGCTGGGTGGACCCGGCAGCTGATGGGAGGTTCAGCACCCTCCTGAAGGACCCTGAGTTTATGGGTAACAAGGTCAGTGTCCTCGGCCCAGCAGAGTTCCCAAGAGACCAGGGAACTGAGGGGTCCCATGGAACAGCCCTGACAAATGACAGATGGGGATCCCGTGATGGTCACTAGCAGGGCCCAGCCCACCAGGCCGCAAGACCTGATGGGAATTCCGGGGATACAGGGTGCTTCCCCTGACACTTATTTTGGGCTCCAGGCCACAAAAACCTGGGGCCCCAACTCAGGAAGCCCCAAGTTCAGAGATTAAACCTGCCTCAACTTCCTCCTCCACAGACACCAGCCTCTGCCCCCGACTCCTAGGAGGATAATAAGTAAATCCACCTTTTCTACTTACACCACCAACCCCGGTGAGGCCTCCTCCAGCCTCTAGTTCCCCTCAGGTTCTGTCAAGCGTGTTATGGGAAAATTTAAAATAAGAGTGTCGTGATGGAGTCACAACCTCGACTTTCCTATTAGTCCTTGGTGAGTCTCCCCTTCATCAGTCTCCACACCGCCGACTTCTTGGCTTGGTTCCTCAGACTGTATATGATGGGATTAATGGTGGGGGGCACCATCGTGTAGAACACAGAAATGACAAGGTCAGAGATGGATGGGGTCCCTGAGGTTGGCTTCAGAGAAGTAAAGCATCCAGTGGAGACAAACAGCACCACAACCAGCAGGTGGGGAAGGCACGTGGAGTAGGCCTTGGCCTTACCTTCTGTGGATGGGATCTTCCTGACAGCAGAGAAGATGTGGACATAGGAAATGACGATGAAAATGAAACATCAGGTTACTAACACCATATCAATGAGCATGGGTATAAGCTCATTCATTAAATTTTCTGAGCAGGAAATAGCCAATAACTGGGGGATGTCACAGAAGAACTGGTGGATCATGTTAGACCCACAGTAGGACAAGGAGAAGGTCCCAGCTGTGTTCATCACAACATAGAGACCCCCAGCCAGCCAGGACACAGCTGTCAGCTGCACACACCTGTCCCAACTCATGATGACATCATAGTGCAGTGGGTGGCAGATGGCAGCATAGCGGTCAAGGCTCATCACCACAAGGATGTGAAACTCTGCAGCACCTGAAATAACCATCATGAAGACCTGGACAACACAGCCCGGGAAGGAGATGGAGCTGCTGTGCCTTAGAGAGTTGGCAATGGACTTGGGGACCGAGGCTGAGATGAGGCAGAGGTCCGTGAGGGACAGACTCCTCAGGAAGAAGTACATGGGGGTGTGGAGGTGCCGGTCCAGGGTCGTGATGACGCAGATGAGCCCGTTCCCCAGCAGGGCGCACAGGTAGACCAGGGAGAAGAGCAGCGGGTGCAAGAAGCCCATGGTCCCCTGGGTGGGGAACCCCAGGGGGACGAATTCTGTCATGGCCGTGAGATTGGTCACCCCTGGAGCCATCATCTGCATAAGTGTGGGGAGGAAGAAATCACCACCACCCCATCTCCCCAGGTGAACATAACTGGGCACCTT